CCCCCCACTGGCTACTGTCATAGCTGTCCATTGTTGTATCTGGGGACGTGTGTGTGTACAGTAACTTGCCTCTCTCTGCAGATTTGAGGAGTTCCTCATAGTACTCCTTACACGCCAGTTCCAGCTGGTCCAGCTGGGCACAATCAGCCACCGTGAAAACCTCCGATTCATCGCTGTCCCTCAGGAAGTGGGACTGCAGGGACTGCAGGCTGCTCATGTTAATGTGAGAGTGATGCCACAGAGCCAGAGCATTCTGATACAGCTGCTCGATCCTGGTGGAGTGAGAGAAAAAGAAATAAATCATTGTATTATATCATTTAAACCTTTAGTCACTGCCTTTTAATTTTTATTTTTTAAAGAAACATTTCAGAAGAAAAAAAAACATTAAAATGAATTCCCAGATTGTCCTCACCTGCTTGCCATTTCAGTGGCCTCCCTGTTGGGTGGTGGTACACTAAAGCAGACTGAAGGCACCATGGCCTCATTTCCAGATGGACTGATCACTTTCCACTTTGCCCTGTGAGAATTGCTCACTAGAACACACTCATCTTCTTTGCTAATGGTGATCTGAAGAGAGAGGGGTCACAGAATTCATCATGGCAAACACTGCTGTAAATATGCAGGCCGCAGCTCCAGTATGGTGAACGTACCTCTATCTGGCGGTAGTCACAGATGGATTTGACGGGTAAGGAGGTCCTGATGGGATTCTCTGGGTTGCGGGCTTTGAGCTGAACAACGGACTTTGCCCGTCCCACTAATCCACCCACTGTGCTGCTGTATTTCAGGAGCTGTTCTTTCTCATCCTGTGAAGAAACACCAGTCCGGCCTCAGTCATGCATATACATCTACACTTCAAAAAACACTCATGGATAAGAATCTTGAGAAATATTTCTAATTACATTTTGATTACTTAATTATTTAAGTCCCCCAATGCTCCAACCCCAAATGTGACCCTGGACCACAAAACCAGTCATAAGGGTCAATTTTTCAAAATTGAGATTTACACATCATCTGAAAGCTGAATAAATAAGCTTTCCATTGATGTATGGTTTGTTAGGATAGGACAATATTTGGTCGAGATACAACTATTTGAAAATCTGGAATCTGAGAGTGCTGATAAATACTGAGAAAATAGCCTTTAAAGTTGTTCAAATTAAGTTCTTAGCTATGCATATTACTAATCAAAAATTAAGTTTTAATATATTTACAGTAGGAAATTTACAAAATATCTTCATGGAACATAATCTTTACTTAATATCATAATGATTTTTGGCATAAAAGAAAAATCAATAATTTTGACCCATACAATGTATTTTTGGCTATTGCTACAAATATACCCCAGCGACTTAAGACTGCTTTTGTGCTCCAGGGTCACAAATAATTGCATGACTTGATTATGCGGATGTGAACTAACCATGGACTCTTGAATTAGATCCTCGAGGCGATGTAAACTGCTGCTTCGGTCGCAGCTGTACTTTCTGTGGATGGCATCTTGGAGGCTCTTAAGGTAATCCAATGACTCTTTGGCATCGCTGAAAAACTGTAAGGAGAGAAACAGCATACCTGTAGGTCTGACATAAACTGTGACAAGTCATGCTGAAAACAGCTGTGTCACTCACGTCAAAGTAGACAGCGTTCTCTTTCAGATGTTGCTCCACACAGTGACAGAGCTGCAGTATCCAGCTCCACTGAGTCTGCATGGCTGCTCTGTATGCCTGCGTATTGCACAAATGGAGACATGGAGTTTGAGGGAACATCTATTTTATTTTACTATTTTATTTCAAATCTTTCTTCCTTGGGACAAAAAAAAAAAAGAAGAATTTTAACAAAATGTTCACACTGCACTTTTCCAAGCAATGAACTTCAATGAGGACAGAAATGGTCAAGCTCCAAAAAAGCACCATGAAGATCTCATAAAGTAGTCCATATGATTGATGCTCTATATTCTAATATGGCTCATGATGATAGCAAGTTTAAATGTGACCCTGGACCACAAAACCAGTCTTAAGTCGCTGG